AGAGAAGGAGACTCCACAACCTCTCTGGGCAGCCTGTGCCAGGGCTCTGTCACCCACACAGGAAGGAAGCTCTTCCTCACACAGAGATGGAACTTCCCAGATATAGAAGGGTATGTATAACACTCAATTAGGGACTTCTATCATCACTGACCCAAAAGACTTAGTGTGGTACTTCAGAGGAGAGAAACTAGACAGCTGGTCCTGTGTCGCTTGTTGCCCATCCTCAACCTCTAACACTACAACAGAAGCTAAAAGTCCACACACTAGAGAAACATCAGCCTGTGTAGTAGAAAAGAGGCACTGAAGTCATGAACAAAACCCCATGATAGACACATGCCAGATTTGTGTAATACATTCATTACACTTACGATAAGTTAAGCAACTTTCTCCTTATATCACAGATGCTAGCAACATGCAGAAAGATTTGAGGGGTGCGGAAATTTTCCCCATTCCTCCAACCCTTCTTTTGCAAATAATCACATAATCCTTTTAATTAAAACCCGGATTCACTAATGTCACAGCACTGGCCTCAGAAACCGAGGGATGGACAACCTTTTCAGCTATACATGCCCTTTGTGTTGTGTGCTTTGCCTCCCATCCATATCCCTTCCACTTTCTGAGGGTGGGTGTGTTTAGAAGAGTGTTTCTTTAGTTGTAACAGGGTCAAGCTGAGGGTCTTTGACCCACTAAAGTGACCTTAATTATTCCAAATTAAAGGGATGCTAAGATGACATTGGGTCTAACACTGTGAAGAAAGCCATTTTTCAAGCTGCAAAGCAAGATTGTCCAATCTGGAAGTTAGCTGCAGAGAACAGATCAAGAGAAGTTATAGTTCCCTTCTGCTAGGGCCACAGGACACACGCAACCCATATATTTAGGCTACCTCAAAGAGTTGCTGCTTCCCAAACAAAAAAGTCTGTGCCAGCACTAATTTATAAGCTTTACACAACAAAATTTCACAGGGAAGAAACAAGTAACTTCAAGGCGATGTAAAGCTAGGCGGGTTGAAATCTACTCTTTTTGTTATTGTTGTTCTTAGTATGCTCTAGGGAAAAAAAAAATTGGGAGACAATAAGCAACAGCAACCATCACCTTCCTCGGGTGTATTGCAACCTGCAAGAGCAAAACAACGTGCCTAGATTCTTAGACACTGCAGTTTCTCCTACTACAGTTCACAGCCATTGCCCTAAAGACCACTCACTACATCTACCATTAAAAGTCTCAGCAACAAAAGAAAAAAAGTCAAGAAATTTCAGTGTTCAAGTACACAGTGCAGGCAAAGATGCCTGAAATTCCTACTTCTGCAACAGCATCACTATAGTAACAGTTGGAAAATGCACAAACACACCAAACTGCTCTAGAAGATGGACACAAACTTTATAAAAGCATAGCTTCCCTACAAAATAAATTGCAAACACAGAATAAAATGAAAGCAAACTAAGTATGACAATTACCAAGTCTAAAGAGTCTAAAGACTTGGTAATTTCCTACTTTTTCACATAATTGAAGTGAGAAATATATACGCAAACTTAGAATCTATCTAAAAGTAGTAACAAACTTCATAAGCTTCTTCATTTAACAGGATTAATACTCATGAAAGCCACCTGAAACCAAAGACAGTCCTTTTTAATCTAAGGAGCTTTTGGAGACCAACAATGAGCAGGATTCAAGCAATTGAACTACTTTTTTAAAAAGTGTGTATTATACATATATATCAACCTGCTACATACTTCCTTTGCTCCATTATCAGACTGTTAAAGCTAAAAATATATTCTCTTTCAAGAAACCCTGCCAAAAAATACTAGATCTGATTTTATTACTGCATGCACACAAAGAAAAGTTAATGGCAATAGACTTTCTTTCACTGTTACATACTACTAAGAAGAATCAAGGTGAACTGTATGCCCATTCAGTTCTAAAGTCCAAAGTCAAAACAAAACAAAAACAATTTTAAGAGGGGAACCCCCCCCCCTTCCCCCCATCCCACTAATTTCATAGACAAAACTCAGGTCCTGTATACAAAGATCAGAGCTCTTAAAGTCTGATCACCATATCTAAAGTACAACAGTTCATGGATTTCTTATAGCTCCAGAAAATATTTGAACTCTATTCTCCATGGATTTTGACAGAAATACTACATAAAAGACAAAAGTGCTTACTGCTTTTCAAATAGCATGGTTTGAACAAGAGTTCTGCTATCTTGAAAACCATCTCTACGCATTCTTTTCCCACCATACAGCACTCAACCTTATCAGTTTATAGTCCATATGCACTTCTGAGCCAAGATGAACTTGCTTAGTTTTAACAGATATCCAAAGGATGTCATTTTCCATTCTCCAGTAGCATGAAAGCAGTTATTATATTTCATGAACAAATATGAATGTTTCAAAAGCCAGACTGACATTCTATCACTCCTATAACAAACTCACTAATTTTCAAATAGTCATCTGCAAAATTGTGGGTATCTTTTAGGGACTTCTATCACTAAGCAATTCCATTTTGTAAACTTACAACACCTAGGTTGCTCAAATTAGGGACAGGCAAAGATTTTTATGTTTTAACTACACAATTATTTTATCTTTGAAGAAGCATACAATAACAGCTACTAGAAAATTACAGTGACTAGGAAACACTTGAAAACAATATAGGAAATAGATACATTAAATTTAAAAATGCACAGACATGTCAGGTCAAAGAACAACAGCTTGCACTACCACATAATAGGGAATGCACCTTCTGCACATACCTTCTTTAGATGTTCTCCAAGGAAATATTAGGTTTGGGCTTCAAATCGGATAAAACCAGCTGCAGAGTTTACCCCACCACCACAAAAATAAAGCATGAACAGTGCCTGTCTGATGGCTTATTTACAGCTTTTGAATAACATGCTATAAGGTCAAAGGTTGATCGTGAGGTGCAGCAACACAAATGTTCTCAAATGTTTTAAAATAAGGTGGACTTCCTTAGTAAAGCAGAAATCCAGTATTATTCTACAAAATCATTACATCCATGTGCATAACAGTAAAGACTATCAAGTTCTACCCAAAAGGGAATTCCATTCATCTTGTGTTTAGGACCACCTGGTATGAATGGATCATCAGCATGGGGGTCTAGGGACACAGAAACTGCAAGAACAGATGGAAGGACAGGAGGATCTCTGTGTATTCCACTAAGTGGAGCAGGAGAGTTGCAATACCAGGGAAAAGATGTCAGGAAGATCCACCTTAGGGCCACTTCTCCCAGGCCCCACACCTCTCATTCCCAACTTCTCTTTAAGGGAGGAGCATTAGGAGTTCTGAGAGTCACTGCAACAGCACCAGCCATCTCAGGAGCAGCTCATCATCCCCTACCTGAGACACAGCAGTCACGGTGCACAGAACTGCAGTTCAGGCTTTTTGGAACACAGCTGCAGAGGCAGAAGTCTCAACACTTCTCTTTTAAAGCACTATTCACCTCATCAGCACTGGCACAAGATTAGACCAGCTTGAGGTTGGACAGAATGCGCAGGATCTTAATATGCTCAGCTGCCATAATCGTAACAGTTCTTCATTTAGCACAAAAAATCAGAAGGGGTGTTGATAAGGACTATTCTTACGCAAGACAGATAAAAATACATGGGAACACTTCAACCTATCTTTCATGGTTAACTTCTTGAAGAAAAAGTAGGTCTGGTGAGTGTCTCTGCACAGGGCTACTGTTAACCACAAGGCTCCTTTAAGGCATAGTATTTACCAGCACGCTTCATTTTACTAAGTTTCAATTTCATTTCTCCAGTAATGTTATAATCTATAGTATCAACTCCAAATAAGAGTTTGAGACCGCATTTTGTCTCAGCTTTCTCTGGTCTTATGTTATAAAAATATTCCCACACCATTTTTAATAAAAATTAAGCTCCTTTTATTCTGTTTTGAGGTTCATCAACAATCTGTCCCCTAGTATCACTAGGGCCCTGTATTCTGGATCAAATACACAAGCCATCTGTATTTGTAGTTCTCATCACCCGCCTCAGCCCTTATTTTATAAACATCTCCAACATCATATTCCATTACTCCAAACAAGGTTAGCTCAATAGGACTTCCCAGAATCATTGCTTACTACAAAAACAGTGGCAAAGACGCATACACTCAGCAGTAACTCTCCCAGGAAAGACTATACATGAGGGACTGAATATTGCAGCATTCACACAAGGATTTTTTTAAACATTGTCTAGTCTCTAAAAAATGGTATCTTGATCTTCCTTTCCATTTTGCTCCCCTGCTTGTTCACAAACTGCCAGAAGAATCCTTCAGCTTCTCAAATACTTCCTGTATGAATATCACTAACATCTCTGCCCCCATAATCTAAGCTTTGGCAGGCCCAAGGGCTGGTGACACTGAGGCTGTACTCAGCAAATCATGTCGTATTTGATCTGTATCTCTTGGTTCCATTTAACTAGATATAACAAAATGCTGCTCAAGTGTGTTGTAAGTTACAGCTTATGAGGACAGACCTGAGAAACTCTGACAGAACTGAAGGAAACAAAACAGCTTAGGATAATTCCTCTGGAAACACTTCGATTAAAAGTATTAGCACACCACTGGCACCATCTCTGGAATTGTTTGATGCAATTCTGGCCATACATGCTAAAAAGACTAGCCCATGGAAGAAAAAAGACAAAGATACCGCTCTAGGACAACCACGTAAATAGAAATCTCATCTAAGGGAATCTGGTTTAGTAAGGTAAAATCCATGTTCTCTTGAAATGCATTGAGGATAAGCAAACCTAACACTAGAAAAAAAATCATTATTTAAAATGAAGAATAATGTTGGTGATATCAAGTGACACAAACTGCTATGAACATACAATGTGAAGATTACAAAGACTCCTAAGAAGCAGAATAGTTTCAGTCTAAAGCAGTCTTCCAGTGGTAAGGTAACAAAACAACCTTTGTGTATTCTGTCATCTCATACAAGACCCATAAAAAATAAATAAAAACAGACTTCATACTTTTCATGTAGTGAGAAGCACATGCTGAGTCAGAAGTCCTTTTCCATTTCCATAATGGGAGGAGGAAATAAGCACACAGGTCTCTGTACTGACTCTGCAGTGAAGACTCCCAGCAGCACCGCTAGAATGTGCGTGTCAAAAGCTCCAAGAAGTCTCCTGCTGCAACATAACTATTTCAAATTTAAAAGTCTAGTCCCAACTCTAAGGAGAGTGGGGGAGGGGAAAAAAAAAAAAAGTATAGTTCATTTGCATTCTTACAGATCTAGCTGCCAAGGCTCTGGAATGTGGAAAGGAGGAGTCCGGCAGCAAAGATGCCTGCAAATTCTGCTCAGGAGATTAAATTTATCTAGTAACACTTGCTGCAACTTACACTGCTGGCATTGACCAGGACAAAAATACTCATGCAAAGAACAAGTCACTAAAACCCAGAAACTTACACTAAAAGCTTCTGGGCACTAGGCCACTATAGCAGACCAAATATTTAGACATTTAATCAAACCCCAAACTTAATTAAAATCCATTCTTAAGTAGTTGCTCATCTTCCATTTTTGCCTGGGAAAAAAATAAAATCTTTTCTAAGAGAACAGGGATAAATATAAACAGCCTTTCAAAACCAAAGCCACATGTTGTTGTTCAACTAGTCTAGGTGATTTTATTCCTTTTTGATAAGAAGACTCCAGTATCTCAAAGCAGATGCTGCCATTCTTCCAAGAAATGGTCATGCCATGGAGAATTAGGGATGATAATAGATTTGGGGATGGGAAGGGAAGGATAATATAGAAACTATACAGTTATATCTTTTAAGATGCTGTAACACAAACAATTAAGGGTCAAACACAACAAATCATCACACTAAATACTAAAAGGAGAACAACTAATTTTATTAAAAGAGATAGAAGCAATCCGAGGTGAATAAGTCTAAGATTTATGTTCACTGGACTCTGGAGTGAGACTGGAGAAGAGTAAGGAAGCCCCAAGATTCCAGATGTTGCAACTACTGTTCTCTGTCTCATAATACCTGGGAGGATTATTCTAGATACAGAAACCAAAGGATCGTAAAATTGCCTGAGCATAAGCGTGCAGAAGGACACAGGGAAGTAAACCACAGTGAGGCTGGGCAGTGGGTCAGTTGCTCTGTCACCGGGGGCTCAGCTATCTGGCATTTCCTTCCCTAAGAGGCCCCAAACTACAGCCAGGCAGTCTCAAAGCATAGACCATTAACCTTATTTACCTCAGCAATTCACAAAACTCATGTGCCCACGTGCCTACTTTGCTCTCACAGTATTACTTGAGCACTACACCTATGTTTTCTGTTAGACTGGGTATCAAACAGAGAAAAATTGATAAAAGCTGGGGGGTTTCTAAGCCAGAGGAAGCACCTTATACCCGTGATCTGCATTATACCAGCTCACCCAAGTGTGAAGCTTGCCTGCATGCCTCCTGAGCAATCTAGAGAAGGACAAAAATCACTTAGTCCAATGAAGTAGCTGTG